ATTAAAATTTTTTTAGTAAAAACGTTTCTTGATATTTGTCATTTTTATATATTATTATCAGTTATATCTGAACAATTCACAATCGCAAAAGTCACGTTTTACAATGCGCTCATTGCACATACACACTGAATAATTCTTGCGAAGGGTTTACACCGTGTGACGTCTCAGACGATTTGATAATAAGTATGAAAAAATTCCACAGAGAAGATAAACTTCTTTGTAGCTAACGGAACAAGAGCACTTAGACACGTCCACTGACCGATTCGATTCCTATTAGCGTGCGGACTAAAATGAAATTGCAACGGTAAGTCAGTTGGCCGTTCATGAAAGCGTCTTCCCTCCTTCCTTTCACATGTATACCGGTTCTTGAAACTATCTATTTGCCTATTCGTTGTGGTTTTCGCTTTATTTCAACGAGGAGAGGGAGAAAAGAAAGAGTAACTACGCAGGACTGCAATTGTGCTGATAAAAAGTGCAGGAAGAAGCGACAATGGTACATGACCCCATTTCATAATAACTTTAATTGTTTTGCTTTGTGCGAGACGTTCACAAATTCATCTTCGTGACATCATATTTGACAATCTTGTATTCATAATTCCTTATACATAAATGTATAAGGAACTTATTGTCAAAACTGATTTATTATAATAAATATTTATAGAGGTATGATTTTTTTCTTTTCAGACTAAAATAATTTTGTATATGACATTTTAATAATTTATTGCGATTTTAATGAGAGATTAAGAGCCTCGATAACTTTATTTGTCATACTTTTAATTTGATTATATTATTTATGTGTATAAAATGTATATATCACTAAAATTTTGATAGGTCCAAAGAACATTATTGTAATGTATTATATTTAAGATATGAAAATGATGAAGAAATCATAAATATAAATGTTGTGAATATAAGATATAAATATTTTATCATATTAACATTTCAATACGCGCGATAATCCATACTTTGACGTAAAGTCACGCATTCAACCTCATCAATTTTCAAAGTATTTGTCTTCACATTGATATCTTCTTCGAGTTGAATTTGCGTTTTGAGTAAATGACGTAGCGATGCCTCTGCCTGTAATACATATTTCGGAATAATAAAAGATTACTATTTGCGCAAAATTTATTACATCAGTTTTGCGAATGGAATTCTATAATTAGAATTCTGTATAAACGGGTATTACAAACCTCACAAAGCATTCGCTGTAAATTTGCCACGACATTTCGTAATTCGTGTATCTCTTTAACGAGATTCACTTCGACTAAATCCTGAGTATGTTCAATTCCTGGACGTTGACATCGATGTTCTAGTCTTGTATAAGCCAGAGCCATGTAGCCTTCTTTCTCAGCTATCGACTTTTTTATGTGTGTGATATTGCTTGACATTGCGGTAACTTGTTTTATTATCTACAAAAAAATTCTAATAAAATTACAAAATAAGTGATAGCAAAACTTTCGAATTAAGATATAAAATCGCTCCATCAATATTTTCCTTGACTATTCAAACTTTTTCTATGTATCAAAAATTAACTGGAGATATTTTTCTTTCAACATTTTATTACAGATTTCGAAAACAGAAATACATAAACTTGTCACCTGGTGAAATCTTAAATTAATAATTAATTAATATCGAGATTTGTGCCAAAGGTAGATTATTACGTTCATTTTTTTTACGCACCTCTGAGTGCTGAAGTTCCAATTTCGTTTTGGCTTCTCGAGTCTGTTCAATACGTTGTCTGAAAGCTTCATTTGTGACATTCTTCTGGTTGTTTAATTCATCAATCGTTTGCTTAATTATTGTATCAATGTAACATCGCAGTTGCTTTGCACTATTCATTTCTTTATTTGCATCAATAACATTGCTGTTTGTTTGCAGTTCCCATTCATTTAACATTACTACCCTATGTTTAACATTCCTTTTGTATATGACTTCTGTATTCTTGAATATTTCATACAATTAAAATTATATACATATATCATAGATATGTAAATAAGATAATTTTGTTAAGTTGATTTTACGCAAACATTTTATTTTTCTTTAGCATATATGCTTAGATTCCCAGATAGCACAGAATGTTTATGATAAATATTTATTACTATTTATCTTTTGAAATGTTACTAGGGATTATATAAATATTGTATACACATTTTGTATAAAGCTCTATTTGAAATATTATTAAAATATGGACTAAATATTTTATGTATAATATTTATGATAAATATGAATAAATATTTCTAATAAGTATTTTTTACTTGGAATATAATGTCTTATTAAATATTTTCATAGAATTTACAACATTTACAATAAATATTTCATAATATTTATAATAAATGTTTATGATTTATGCAATCTAATCGTGCAAAAAATATTTAAAATAAGTCTTATAATTTAATTATAAGATATATTTTAAATATTTTGTAAATATTTTTGTGGTCTTTGCACGACTAGATTGCATAAATCATAAACATTTATTATAAATCGTAACTTGTTGTAATATTATTATCGTAACTTGTTGTGTTACTTGGGATTATTATCAAATATAAAATGGTAACTACTTGCAAAAACTAATTTATATCACGTATAAAGAAAAAAAAATTCTCCTTTGTTGTTTTTTTACATCATAAAGCAATTGTAGATAGGTAAATAAGATAATTATTAACTTGTATCTTATGCAAATATCTTATTTTTCTTTAACACCTTTTTTTAGATTATTATTATCAGACACAAAATGGCAGCACGCGAATAAAAGAAATCCGTCTTTTGTTCTCGACGTCATAAAACAATATACAGGGTGTATCTTAAAAAGCGTCCACTAATCATATAGCAGCACTATTCCTGATCGAAAATTGAGTCGAAAAGTCCTAAGTCATTTTGCAATTTTTGCAGTAGTTAACGAAATATTAATTTCTAAAGATTATTAAATAAGAGAGTAAAATCAACTCATAAGACAACTTTAAAATATCTTTCAATGTTTTTTGTGAAATATCTTAAAGATGTTTCTTAAAGAGAGAGAGAACTCTTAAAGGTATCTTAAAGTTGTCTTATGTGCTGATTTTATACATTCTGCTCATTGAATAACTAAAAAAAAAACCCGCAAAAATTGTAAAATGATAGGCAAATTTTCGACTCAGTTTTTGATCAGAAATAGCGCTATATTAAAATACATACATACATACATCCTGTATATAACTGTGGCTAAAGGTTAAATGTTGTCAACTGTATTCCGATAATAATGTATGTAAATTATATACAATACTTAATATTTTTCAACAACGTTACGCACGACTTGTCAAGAGGCGAAGTACCATGATAAATACTCAGATTGAAATCAGTTTCTTTTAAAGTTACATTGCGACGATCGATATGTAAATTGTTTTCCTTATTCTTTAGATCATGATCAATATGATATAATGTGGCTTTTAATTTACGGATTTGTTCGCAAGTATTTTTTAATATTCGATCCAACAGATTTTCCGCTCCTTGTATTACCTCACGCTCTTTCAATAGATTCGTTTCAACATCATCGTAAACCAAATCAATGCCCAATCTACATTCCCTGTGACAAAATATTCTTTTATTAGAAAATTAGCTTAAAAAAAGTGAAATTTGCATAACAAATTGCTTAACGATTAGGAAACATTAGTAACCTGTCAATGAGACATTTTTCACAAATTGCAAGAGCGTTTCTTTTTACGGACTTCAGTACATTTATAATTCGTTCTTTGTATACAGACAATGCATCGATTTCTAGAACAGTGTCCTTTCTTATACGCAACAATTCTCCTTTGCGAAATTCAATGTCATTGAGTTTTTCTAGCAAACGATGATCTGTCTCTTCCTTATTAACTTTTACGATTTCCTGGGCAGAGTCACATGCGAGCGTCGCCTCGGCTAAGAGCCGATCCGATAATTCTCTTTGTGCCTCGGAACGTCGATACCTGAATTCATCAAAATTACAGTTTCATATCAAGATAAAAAGAAAAGTCAGATTATGAGTGCGGATGTATATGTACGATGCACAAGCATAATTTACTGTTAAAAACTTATTTGCTTTCTCTTTAATTACATCCGGAATAGAGCAACGTTTGAAATCTCAAATTGCACAACGTGACGAGTTTTTCACAGAAAACTTGGCAACTTTAGCTGGATTTTTCGTAATTTTGGATAATGTCACACGCATGACTTATTGATACCTGAACTGATTATTGTGATGCCATTCGTCCAATGTAAACCTCGTTGAAGGAAAAAATACACGATTTACGTCAATATCAATTTCCGCCATACCGCGATGTGATTTCGTTCAAGACAAAGGATCGTATTTTTCGCAATATTTCCAATTTCAATGAAAAATCATTCACGAAGACTTAATTCCCAATGTGTTTGCTCGTTCCCAAGGAAACGTTTCCCTTTGCTATCAACTCCATACAACAATTATCGAACTTCGTTCACGACAATTTGTATTGATGTAAAAACGTATACGTAATGCATGTTTTAATAGTAATTATTTTAATAGTAGTTAAAAACAGTGAAATTTATTTTATGTAAGTTATTGCAAAAAATATTTCCTTTATTTGTCACATTTTTAGTTTATTATAAAAAAATTACAAGTTCTTTGATAATATAATAAGAAAGATTACTGTAATATCCCTGGTGAAAAAATTTTGCTGAAATTTCACTAAAAGTGAATTTTTTAGTTATAACATATTGAAAAATCACTCTGAAATTGAACTAAATTTCTCTGAAATTTTTCTGAAATGTTGAAATTTCGCTGAAAAGTATTTCAATAAAATGTGGAATAATTTCAGCGAAATTTTCCACAGGAAGAAACCAGGTTCTTATGCATGGTAAATAAGTTAAATAATAATGATTAAAATTCCTCTTTATCCAGCATCAATAATGTCGAATGTTTTAAAATGATTCAAAATTCGACCAAATGAGGGCGTTTTCACTTTGCACTCATATAATCTAGTAACTTTAAGACACTCACGCGTGTATCGGCTTATTTGTCGACTTTGTAATATATATTTGTCTGTATTCGAACAAAATGTTATGTTTATACGAAGCTACTGCATTCAATTGAAATTATTTAAAAAATGGAACGGAATTTTTTTCGAGATACATAAAATATGTGAGTTTTAATAGATCAATGTCGAGAAAATGTGTATTTACTATTCATTCCTTTATCAATATTTATTTCTATGTAAAGTCACGTGAACTTTTTTTAAACAGATTGATGACAGTCTTTTTAAATTAAAATGTGAAGTTAAATAATAATTATTTTATCATTAAGTATGACTTGAAAATAAAGTGCTTTTATCTTTAATTTTATTACAAATATAGGATAAACTCTTTAAACCGACAAAAATAATTTGTTATAAAAAATTTACAATTTTTCAATGTTGGAAATACGAAAATTTACAGATCGATTCCTGCATGTATTTTCTCGCTTTATGAATGTCATGCCACCACTTGACTTGAACAAGCTCAAGAAAAGACCATTAACAAAAGAAATTTTGGAACAACCTAAGAAAAAAATAGACAGATTCGATGGATTGTCAGAAGAGGAAGTCCAAAAGTATACATTACAAGATTATCTGGAGATGAATCTGGATTTAGTATTTGTCGGAATCAATCCAAGTTTAATGGCGGCACACCGTGGTAGATACTATGCAGGTCCTGGTAATCACTTTTATAAGCTCCTGCACGAATCTGGCCTAACACCAAGATTTGTCAGCTTTGAAGAAGACTATAAACTCTTGCAATATAGTATTGGTTTGACAAATATCGTTGAACGTCCCACTAGATCTGCTGCAGATCTTAAACGAACAGAACTCAAAGAGGGTTCTAAAGTAGTAGAAGAAAAGTTGAAATTATATAAACCCAAAATTGCAGTGTTCAATGGTAAATGTATCTATGAAGTATTTGCTCACATCACTACTAAGTCCAAATTTTATTTTGGATTACAACCAGAATGCATAGGTGATACTGCAATTTGGGTAACACCGTCAAGCAGTGCACGGTGTGCTAACTTCCCTCGAATGGTGGACAAGTTGCATTTTTATACAGGATTAAAGAAATATCTAGATTTTTTGAAAGGCGAAATTACCAATGTTGATTTAAAAGAATTTTGTTTTGAGGGACGCAAGCAGATTATACCCAGTACTTCCAAAATGTGGCGACGCAAAAATGTCTCTACTTTTCTACATGGAGGTAGGGTTGTTAACAAAAATACTCTTTGTCTGGATACATCTGAGGAAGATATTGGTTCAATTCGTACAGTAGAATTTCTAGTAGAAAAATCTAATCAAAAGTATTATAAAGATGAGAACACGTTTTTCAATAAAGAAATATGCAGTACAAAAATTGAGAGTCAAGAAACATTTGATGAAACTGTAAAGAAATCTGAGACAAGTATAAAAGAAACAGAAAATCTTATAAGTGATGTTAATGATGAAATAGTTGTCAACCAATCAGAAATTAAACAAATATCTGAAATTAATGGAAAAGGAAAAAAAGATTGCATTGTTATAACTAATAATATTTTAAATCACGAAAGTAATATAACTAATTCAGAAAATAATGAAAAATATGCATCTTCAAGAATTACTTGCAAAACTTTAGGAACTGAAAATAATTTGAAAAATTGCAATGGAAATGATACAGATTTTCTAAGTTTAATCAAACAAAGATTATCTCAGAAAAGTAGTAACGATGATATTATATCCTCTACAAGATCAAAATCTAATTCCAAAAAGAAATAAAACAATAAATATCAGTAATAACGATAGACATTAATATGCAATTTCAAATTTCAAAGATTTATATATATTTTTATATTTTAGTATAGCATGTACATATTTTTTTTACTTAAAATTTTATTATCAAGATATTTATTATGTATATAGAAATATAAAATATAATAAGTTCACAAATTCCACGATGAAAGACATCTTCCTCCATTCCATTTTTATTATAAATGCTTATATAATAATATCAATTCTCAGTAGAAGGAATGTTTAAGCAGTACAAAAACAATATTTATTTATTCTGTGCTAAATGAATTTTATTTTTCTTATTCACAAGATATTACATCGATGAATGACAAAAAAAATCATGAATATATGTATAATTTAATAAAATTTATTAAAAATTTCCTTGGTTCTTGACGCAAAAGCACTTATTCAAAGTATCGAAATTTTTTAATTTACACAAATTATTCCTTACTTTTACTACTACTTAGAATAAGCTTATTATTTGAACATATTTACACTTGGACTTTCACCGTCCGAATCCACCATCAGAAAGTGATGTTACTTTCTGTTGTATTATTTTACCGTAACCACCTCGTCCACTATCAAAATCGGATCTATATTCATCTCTCACCTAAAATATTAAATAACATTACATATCACATCTACATATGTATATATCTTGTGTTTAAATTAATCTTTCATAAGATTAAAAATAATTACCTGTCCTCCTGTTTTCCCACGACCATATTGTCGGCCTTCAATAAAGCCTGCATCCCAATCAGTTCTGATGATTCGGTCATCTAACCGAGTTCCATTTATATACCTCATGCAACTTTCTCCATCAGCTCTGTTGTAGTACTCAATAAAACAAAAGCCACATGGTGTCTTCTTATATTTATCAAGACCCATAATTATTCGTCTTATGTCTCCACATTTAGAGAATAATTCATATATTTGCTCCTCCGTTGTATAAAAAGATAGATTCCCAACATATAAAGTACAGGAATTTCTTAGTAGCCTATCTTGCTCAGCTCTTGTTCCCTATATAATGAAAAAGAATATATAAATCAGTTATTCATAAAGTATTAAAAAAACTGTATTTATCAGATAAATATACAATTAAATGCAATTATACCATAATTAATTATTTTTAATTAAGCACTTTTCAAATGTTGATTATGACAATTAGAACTAAAAATTTCAAACTACGTAAATGTAAGAAACAAAAATAAAAATACACATAAGAAACATAAATAAATTGAAATATTATACACTAGATAATATTTGAGGTTAATTATTATTAAATTAAAAAAAAAACCTTGAAATGTTGATCACGATAGGAGCTTAATTCAACTGATGGCGAGCTAGTTGTATTTAGTTTAACCGACATTTTCCGAGGCTATTTACTTTAATTTTGCACTTATAAAAATCAATTTCTGTGTCGCAATTCAAATCTGCAGGATCCACTGAAATCGAAGCGAAAAGAAACATGAATATATTCAATGTGTAGTTGTGTGTATGTACCACAAACGCTTACTTGAGCGCTACTGAGCACCCAATGATACCAATAGAGGATAAATAAATTACCAAATATGTTCAGAGACTTTTATGTCCCTTATGTACCTTCTTGTTGAATTTTAGAACACGCAAAAGTCTCACTGACCAATCGACTGTTCACTTTTTGGAAAATATAGGATGACGATAGGTAATTGGTTCTTTCAAGTGTAGCATTCAGAAGCCAATACTGACTGTATTTATGAAAGCACGGAACGTTCTTTCCATCTTTGATTGGATTCCATTGCGTTTGTGGTAACAGGGTGAGTGTGATTTATATTTGATATATTGAATGATTATGCGCAATGCGATGATTAAAAATTACATTTTGCTTTATTAATACCTGTATATTAACGACTTATTATTAAATCTTGTGCGTTAGAACCTTTATAATCTGGAAAAGTTGTTCAGCATGTGCCCCTGAATTTTTAACCTAAAAAACACGTTTGCGTGTTGTGCAAAGTTTTAGCCATTTTCGTGATATCTGTCTTCCTTCAGCCAAGTACTTGTTTTGTGATAGATGCGTACAATTTCCATAGAAAATTTTTTTTTATAATGAAATTAATTATCTATTTAATATTCACTATGTATATTATATATATATACATAATTTGGCGTCGTACACTGCCACTCAACGTTTTTTTTTATTTCTACGCTAGAATCGTGTAACCTTTTTTCTTGTTTTCGCTAAATATCAAACATACTTACCTGACTTTAAGTTCCAAAAATATACACTAGGTAGCAAATCTTTAATTAAATGTTCATGTATGACGTTTGCTACAAAAATTTTTTTTATTAATGTTAGAAATAGAATATGTTAGATATGTTGAAATAGTAGGTTTGTTCGCGTTGCATGAAATCCCCAAATATTTTTGCACTTAAAATGAGATAGATATAAATTTGGCTTTGAAAAGAGAGAAAGTAAAGATGCTGAGTGCAAAAAGTGTGAGCAACATGAACAGACCTAGTTTTTATTTAATTGATATTGTAAAAACTATATTCAATAGTTATAGTATATTAAAACAGTAGTTCTTATTAATTATTTGAATTATATTATAGAGCTTTTGGCATACACACACAAGTACCGCATATACAAGCACCATGCAGCTGCAAATTCGTGGACAAGAAACAACTGTCATTGAATGTCAAGACAATGAGAAAATACAACATATAAAGGTATTATTTTCTTTAAATAGTATTATTTTAGTACACAAAATTTAATATCAGAATTTGTCTTTGGGTATTAATGTCCAAGGATGCAGCATTAAAATGATAATCTAGCATTGCTCACTTTATAATGCTAGAACGAGCATTAATGCAAAAATAATTTGTAAATTTATATAAAAGAGAAAGTTATATTTTACTTTCACTTTTGATAAGTTTCCTACAATATATATATATTTTTTATAATTATATAATAAATGTAATTATTGTAATTATTATTAGATTATATAAATTAATTTATGCAACAAGTTCTGTGGTTGACTCTTCAATATTCTGTCATTTTATACAATTTCAATTTATATGATAAATATTTAAATAAATATTTAGATTATATATACATACTAATAGTTTAATTGTTTTCAGGAAAGAATTGCGAGTCTACAAGGCATTGAAGATGAATTTCATCTTCATTGCAATGGAAGCTTATTAGCAGATGAAACTTTTGTAAATGAACTTCAATCAGATGTACTTGAATTGATTGTACCCTTACGGGGAGGTAAGCTAGTTTCTAAAAAAGAAAATTTATTTAGATTTGTAGTATATTTAAACAATATTTTGACGTTTTTAATGTAGACAGTCAAAACAGGCTCTATTGTATTATATAAATATATTTGAAACACATACTTTAATTCTTAAAGGATATTGTATTTATTATAAAAAACAAAAAGCACAAAAAATTCAGATTGATTATAAAATACTTTTTTTCTTTTCAGGAAAAGTTCATGGTTCTTTGGCACGTGCTGGCAAAGTAAAAGCTCAGACACCTAAGGTAAAGAGATACTTCAATCTAGATTATTTAAATAAATTTATATTTCAGGTTTATTACGATGAAAAAAATATTAATGTATGTGTGAAATATATAGTATATGTTCATATATTAAATTAATATATGTTGTATTAGGTTGAAAAGCAAGAGAAGAGCAAAAAGAAAACTGGCCGAGCTAAGCGACGCATTCAATACAATCGTAGGTTTGTCAACGTCGTTCAAACCTTTGGCCGCCGACGTGGACCTAATGCCAATACAAATTCATAAATGTTATTACTATAATATATTTGTTATAATAAATTCGGATAAAATGCCATAACTAAAACATAACAAATGTGTATTTTATTAAAATTACCTATACTTTCTAGGCTATATGTTTTAATTGCGATGTGATCAGTCTGAATTCAGCATAATTCTGTTGAAAATGGTTGGAAAAAAAAGAAGCTCCGTTTTGATATATGGACACACCACAAAAAGTTTGATTTTTAGACTATATGGAAGTACAAGAGTCATAATCTTATATTCTAAAATACAACGATATGAATGATGCTATACATAAAATTCTGGAATTGACTATTGGGAACGTATTTGGTAAAGATATAACTTGCAGAGAACCGGTCCATCGTTGCGACGAATATCAGCCGGGTTCTTTGGTGGAGCTGGGTAGAACCTGTATTAAAGTATGAAAAAGATATAATTCTTTTCCAAAAACCTATTTTCTTATTTTAATATAAAATTTTAAAATGGTTGTATAGAGAGAATTTAAATTAAATTTTTTTTATTCAGATATGTGTGTGTGTCAGAAATTAAAGTATATTTTGTGAAATAGCGTTTTCATAAACAATTAATTGTAAAGTAATATTTTTCATGAATGCACAAACTTTAAAATTTAAAATTAATTTAGGTACATTATTGAAAGAAAAATCAACAAATTTCTATGAAATTTAAAAAGTTTAATTAAAAAACAAGCTTCTTTCTTTTGTTTGCATAGAAAATTTTGCAGATGGTCGAAAATTTCTTCTGTCATATTGTAAAATTAAGCACATTTTCTTGTAATTTTGATACATTTTAAAACAGTTTTCATATTTTTAAAGATTATATATGTTTTTTTAAGATATTTGTATAAAAAGTAAGTACAAAATAATATTAATTACAGAAAAAATATTATAAGTACTATCCGATGAAATTTCTAACTTTTGGAAAAATATGATAAAATGATTTTATCTTATCCAAATTTTCTTTGAATTAATTACGACGACCAGAACACAGTTCTAGATACTGTATTAACAGCTTTTATTTCTCACATTCTGCCATATTCTCATGTAGATTGGTATGGTTAGTGCTGGTCAGTGCAGAACAGGCAGGTTAGGTTAGGTTATAGGTTAGTGGCAATTAGTACTATGCGGTATGATTGCGTCTTCTGCTAATAACACATTGTTTGACAATTTTATAAAAACTAAAAAGTCATAATTTATTAATATATATATAACGAGCTGTAATATACAGATATAATTTATATAAGTTTTCACGAGAAAATCAAACACACAATGGTAAGTCTGTGATTATATAAATTTCCAAATCTGTACGAAATATCAAGTATGACGATAAACACGTTTTATTTATCAAGTTTTTCAAGAAAATCTTGATGCCGTGCGGGTTATGCGCGATACCTGTAGTAAAATCAACAAATCTGTCGGAAGACAAAATGTCATCCTGTAGTAAGGAGCCAGTAGTCAAGAAATTAATTCGACCATCCGAACTACCTATTTATTCCTTTGAAGACAATTGTTCTAAACAGATCCCATGGTAAAGCACAAGTAATTCCAATTATAACTATTATATCATAGATTAAGATTTAACTCATAATTAAGAAATGTTTCAGTCTTGTGATAAACTGTTACTAAAGAAGCAAGAAACGTTATTGAATATTCCTTATGAAAATTCACATGAAAATTAACATTTCTATCAATTATTTTTCGATGTAATGTTTATTATTAAATTTTCTATAACAGTACAGAATGTCCACCTTCGGCCCTGGAGCAGAACATATCTAAAATTCGCAAGTCAGTTCAAGCAGTTGTGTCTGAATATCAACATTATACTGGTGTTATCTCAGATACTATCGACATTGGTTTTGAACATAGTAGTTGTAAGTGTTAATTAAGCATATATTTAAATGTATTTTATACAATTATTCTACAATGCCATAACCAAATTACTTTTTTGCAGCCCTTTTAGATTATCTACGTGAGGAAAGTAACATTATGCCACGAATGGGCGCTATCGCTATCGGTGGAATAGCTGGATTAATACTTGGACTTAGAGGACGCAAATTCAAGCGAATAATGTATTCTAGCGCAGGTGCACTCTCTATGGCAGCTATCTGTTATCCTCAGAAGGCGAAAGAAGGATTCGACATGACTAAACATTACGTGAACGTTGGCTACAATTTTATTTATGGTGGTAATGTATATTAAATTATTTTCGGCAAATTATTTTTTTTATAAACACAAGAAATGTATATTAAAACAGATGAGAGTCATTTAACTATGTTGCAATTGATAACAAATCAAACACAACGTAGTCAAACGAGACGCTTCCTATTAAGACTACCAGCTTTCAAAATTGAAGATGAGATATAATTGTCAATGATACAAAACATGGATATGTCGATATTTTACTATAAATAATTTCAGTCAAACCAGGTGACAATCGACAGCAGCAAATCACAATGCCAGAAATGCCGAAAATGCCAACATCTTTTTCGGAATTTGTAGATTCAATGATTGTCACAGGTTCAGCAGTGGCTACTGCTGTTGGTAGTTTTGCACAAAACGCATATGCATCTTTAAGTAGTAACAAGGAGGTAGGATGCAACGAAGAAATTTCTCTATTGCATCACCCCTCTCTTACACCTGCTTCATTTCTATTGCTTCATCTCTATTTTTGAGAATGCTTTCAAAAAGATGTGCTATATCAGTAGCTCTTACTGTTTATATAGTACTTTTTCACAACTATTAAATAGTTAAATTAATCTCTTACAAAAATCAAGAAGGAAATAAGTACAAATAGTATATCATTATAGAAATAATGATATATTACGAACATATTGCTAACGTATTACAAAATGTTGTCCCGGCTACCACCTTTTAAAAAATTGCTGTGTACTTAGCTTATGCAAACGTCGATCAAGATACGACAAAACCTGTTCACTACGTACCATTTCGTAACACCAAGGAAATCTCTGAACCCATAATCGAAACGTCACCTGCACCTTTGGCAGATAAAAAACAAATACTCGAAGAAACTGGTTTTGATAAAAGAAAACTTAGGTGTCCATGCTTTTTTCCTGTCATATTTCTTAATAACTTTTGTCTTGCTTGTTTCTGTAATAATTTCACTTTAATCAACTTTACTTTATAGCTATTATATTTATTTTTTGCCATTTATATTTCAGGAAAACCAATCGACAGCCAAATTAGACACTAAGCAAGATTAGGCGTTTTTCGACAATAATAGGACAATGTAGCAAAGAATGTATAAAAGTTTTATTAACATTTTGAAAAAAATTATTAATTATTGAAATAATAAATCGTATCCTATATATAACATATATGAAACATTGTATTTTATCTTATATTTGTGTAAGTAAAGTAGTATAGTAATGATATATCACACATCCCTCTTGATTGGAAATGAATAAAGCTTGCTTCACAAATAAAAAATATACATTATATTTTTTATATCATTTTTCATATATATATATATATATATATGCATGTATATGAAAAATAATATAAAAATTAATATATATTATGTGTTTATGTGTATTGAAATATAGTGTTATTGTTTTATATAATGTATATAAAACAATAAAATTCTTTTTAGAATTAAAGTTTAAATTCATTTTAGAATTAAAGCTTGGAATTATGATTTTACCTTGTCTCTAATTAATTTCAATACTTTTGGTAAATTTCGAGACTTTTATTAAACAAATTTTTTTGAGAGAGAAAATACAAAAATGATTTCTTTATTATACAGGAATGATTTATTTATGTACATCATGTTGGTTGTTAAAATTAATAGGCTTTCTACAATAAGCCATTATATCAGTTTTAAATCTGAAGACATAAGAAATTGATCAATCAAACGCGAGAAGAATAATCGACTATAATTGGTCAATAATTCTTATGACTTAAGATTTAAAGATGACTTAAGATTTAAAGATTATGTAATTGGCTTATTGTAGAAAGTCCATAAAATACATGCAGATCTTTCTAAGTAGAAGTTAAAAAAATAGAGATATTTGTGCGGGATGTGATTCGGCGCGAGGCGCAGCCGCGTCTCGTTTTATCGACTGGTTATTCCCGGCACCGCTCAACTACGGGATTTCGATCCTCCTCACCCTGGCACAAGACCAAAACGGCACTGGAAACCTGCGCACTTGCAGCCTCGGCATGAGGATAGTCAATCTAACGTGCGCCCTTAGGAAACACAAACCGCTGCGTAGATCATGAAAGGGGCGCGCGCACACCTTTACCCCCTACTATCTTGACCTGTTCTTTACACGGGTCAACACGCGAACCACCGTGAGAGGTGCAATTATATCGTAAATGCAATTGCTCTTTCTCTCGTCCTTCCTCTCTCTCTGTGTCATTATCCGGGATGTGCAAGTCGATGATTATTAGTTCGAACTCCGAAACGTGTCGCTCCTCTACGAAGTAGTGCGAAGAGATATGAATTTGGAGAACGTTCGCTCAGATTCATTTCGGAGGATCCTCGATTGCAGATATGACGCTCGTTCGTTATTTCCCGAGGAGGGTGCTCCGTCAGCTCCGTGTTGTGTGACGCACTGTGACGCACAGTGAAAGGGTTGCTGGCGCAACGCCCGTACTACTGGTCGGATGCTGTAAATTCGATATACTTTCGTCAATCGTTATTTTTTTTCTGAGCAGAAAGATCGAAAATTTTTTTTAACTATTACATGAATTTAGTGTTTATTAAATATATGAAGAGAGTTATAGGGACGATGCAGCGATAAATATTGTACCAGGCAGTATGTGACTTTCGCGAAATTTAACAGATTGGTGGATCAAGGTGTTACAATTCAGGTAGGTTTTTAAACTATAAATATAAAAAAAGCATATATCGATCCCAGATATTTTTTAATCGAGATTTATTACTGGATGTAACAAGATATTTCTGTTGATAATATCCTTATTTTTTATTGATAATCACGATTAATAATAAAAAACGTCAGTATTATTATTTATAATAAAACAGAGAATTCGTGATTTTTATTTTTCGTGTTTTCATCTCTTCG